TGCAAATTTTAAAAGACTGATAATATCAAGTGTTGGTGAGAACAAGGGACACCACCAGCCTGGCACCAAACTGGAAATAGCCCAAATGTCCATCAACAATAGAATGGATGAAAAAAAAAAATTCTGACAAGTCAATATAATGGAATCCCATAGAGTAATGAGAATGAGCAAAGTACTGTTTTATATAATAACATGGATGAATCTTGGGGGGAGGATATAGCTCAAGTAGTAAAGCACATGCTTAGTACGCGTGAGGTCCTGGATTCAATCCCCAGTATCTCCTCTAAAAAACAAATAAATAAATAAACCTAATTACCTCCCCTCCGCCAAAAAAAAATTTTTTTTAAATAAAGTTTGGGGAAAAAAAAGAATAATTAATAGCATGGATGAATCTGTCAAATATAATGTCAAGTGAAAGAAGGCAGAAACCAGAGTCATTGGGATGTATGATTCCAATTATGTAAAATTACTGGTGGGAGTAATCAGTAGTGTTGGACCCAGGATAGTGATAAACTTTGTGGGGCAGGAGTGGTTGGGAGAGGATTTGAAGGGGAAAGATTCATATCTTGACCTGGGTTGATTACAGAGTTTCACTCTGGAATTTCACTGAGGTTTGCACTAATGATCTGTGTGCCTTTCTGTATGTTTATTGTACTTCGATAAAGAATTTCAAAATATCTGGGTGGAGGGTATAGCTCAAGTGGTAGAGTGCATGCTTAGCATACAGAAGTATTCAATCCCCACTACCTCCTCCAAAAATAAATAAGTGAACCTAAGTACCCCCAAAAAAAATCCTAAAAAAAAAAAAAATTCAAAATAGCCAAAGAGAATAGTTTATGAATTAGAAATTGGTCATTTCCTGTCTCTCTCCAATCCTATTCCCCAGAGGTAGCCATGGATGCAAAATGGGTAGTGCCTTTATCCAGAGTTGTAAATGTATTTCCTGAACTGTAGCCACTGTCCTGCACTTCGTGTTTTTCACATAACAGTGTATCTTGGAGGATGTTCCCTATCAGAACTCTGAAGAGCTGCCTCCAATCTTTATCAGCTATGTTGTATTCCACTGGGGGCTATACCTACCAAACCCAATTATACCAGTCGTCTATTGACTGTTTTCCATCTTAGCACTTTGAACAGTGTAGCAATGGCTATCTTCCTTCAGGTGTCGGTTTTGCACCTGTATGAGTTTCACAAGGGGATGCATTCCTAGAAGTGGGATGTCTGAGTTCAAGTCTAGGAGCATTTTCAAATTCCCTTTGAGAATCATTCCATGTATAACAAAGTGCTTTAGGTGAGATTACAGGGAAATGTGAGGGATCTATTGATCCCATTTTCCTCCTCAGGGCCTCTGGGATATCATGAGCTGCAAGGTGATCTTTGTGGTCCAGGTGGAGGTTGGAACTCAGTGCAGATACCTCTTCCTCCAGGAAGCCCTCCCTGATTCCTAGGGTCAAGGAACCCTTGGGCTTCTCTAGTCCTCCTGAGCTTCCCAACTCTAGCCTTGACCACTCTGGATGACAGATGTGTCTCCTCCTTGGACTGTCAGTTCCATAAGGGTACGGCCAAGGCTGTCAAGGTCACCACGGTGTCCCCAGCACCATCCTGCACAGGGTTGGACACAGAGGATGAACTTGGATATATGAATAGGTTGACAGATGGAATGAATTTATAGGAATAGAGAGAGTCAGGACTCAGAGAGGACAGGACTCAGCACCCAGGGACCCAGAGAGGAGGCAGAGAGGCTCAGAGAAGAGAATGAAGACTTGAGGATTGGGAAGGGGTTTCTGGAAAGAGACAGGGTCTCAAGGGGAGAGACAGAGACTTAGAGAGGGGTGGCATCTCAGGGAGAGGCATGGAGACTCAGAGAGGTGGCTGGGGTTCAGGCTGGCGAGGGTCACGGGTGCCCCGACAGCAGGTGGAAGTTGCAGAAGGCCTGGAAGCTGAGGCTCCAAGGGAGAGTGGGAGCTCGGTAAGTTTCCTCTTTTATTCCCCCTCTTCCTGTGGACAGCAAAGTCCAGGCTTGTCTCCCTCCTCAAACCAACTACTCAGATCTGGAGGGCTGGGGAGGGGCCCAAGGGCTCTGCTGGGTGGGCCCTGGACATCCTTGTTCTCTCCCCTAAACCTCTGGGGCCTCCTCCACCCTGTTCGGGTGCTTTGATGGGGCTGCCTTAGAGCTCAGCAGAAAATAACCCTCCTGGGTACACAATTTGTCAGAAAGGCATTGGGCCGAAAAGGAGGGTCCTGACCCTCTCTTGGTGGGGACGGAGGGGAGAGGGCAGGTGGATCCCAACCCCTTGTGCCTCTCCTTTCCCAGAATTTCCTGCCCAGGTGCCTTTCTGGTCCTGGCTGCAATTTCTCATTTTGATGAAGTTGAATTATCCTGGTCCCAGTTGAATCAACCCCAGTCTGAGCAGAGGGCACAGCCACCTGGAGACTGCCTTCTGCCCTTTCTCCTACCCTGGACCATGGTCATGGCCCATAGGGGTAGTCCCCTCCCCATCTGGCTCCATCTCTTTTCTCTCCAATGATGGGGCTGCTCAGCTACTTGGGTGGGTGACCAGAAAAGTTCAAATCCCAGCCTCTGCCTGTAACATACAGTTGGTACCTAACTTTCTGAGCCTGCTTCCTGCCTGAAAGAAACAGTCCCCTTTCCTAGGGCCAGGGGCCGGTGCCATGAGATGCTATGCATTTAAGATACAGTCAGGGAGCTCCTTCCATAGGACACTGGGATTGAACACACCTCCATCTGAGTCCAAAGAGCTAATGTTTTCCGAGCACTTTCCATGGGTTGGGATCTGGGCCAAATGCCTCACACACCTTCTCATCGCTGAGCCCTCCCAGCCTGCTCACTTTTGTTGTCAGAGCCTGGGGTGTGCAGGTGGGGCTCTGCTCCTGGCACTTGTTGGATGGTGACCTTAGCTGCATTCCTGCCCCCGTCTGGGCCTCTGGTTCCAAATCTGCAGTGAATCTGTTGAGTGAATCCTCGGGAACATGGTACTTGGCATGCATTTGGTACTATTAAGACCCTTTCCCCCATTTCCCAAAAGTGGAAACTGAGGCTCAGAGTAGGATTAGAACATCTCAGGGGACCGAGAAAATGCTTGCAATCTAGAGAAAAGTGGGGCAGCATATTCATAATCAAAAAGTAGAAACAGCCTAAATGTCTGTCAGCTGATACATGGATAAACAAATTGGAGTATCGCCATGTTGTGGAATATTATTCAGCCTTTAAAAAGATGGAAGTCCTTCCATTGGTGACAATACGGGTGGACCTGGAAGCCATCATGCTAAGTGAAATTAACCAGTCACAGAAGGACAAGTTCTGCATGATTCCACTTACATGAGACATTTAAAAGTCACAGAGACAGAGAAGAGGATGGTGGCTCCAGGGGATGGGAGGAAGGGGGTAGGGGGAGTAGTTTAATGAGCATAAAGTTACAGTTACACAAGATGAGTGAGTTCCAGCACTCTGCTGTACCACAGCGTGCCTACAGTTAACACTACTGTGCTGTGCACTTAAAAGTGTGTTAAGAGGGTAGATCTCATGTTAAGCGTTCTTAACACACACACACACACACACACACACACACACACACACACACACACACACACACACAACGAACGACTAGTGTAGTGTGTTAGTTAATAACGACGAAGAACGACGAACTAACTTACTACGAACGAAACGGAAAACGTA